TTCACAACATTCAAAAAAGACAGACATTGAGCCAGGTGCCAATGGCTCATACCAGTAATCCTAGCTACTCTGGAGGCTGAGAGCTGAGGGTCACAGTGTGTAGTCTGGACAAGAAAGTCCATGAGACTCTTAGCTCCATTTAACCACCAAAAAGCCAGAAGTGAAGCTGTGGCTCCAGCTTTGAGTGGAAGCTGAGGAACAGTGTCCTGACCCTAAGTTAAAAGCCCAGTGCCAGAACCACATTATTACTTTGAGGAAGCTGGACTGGGCTTTGAGGGTTAAAGAACTTGACTATGGTAAACTACAAAGTACAGTCCTAAAGTTCAAACCCAGGAGTTCACACTCATGTCCCAACCCCCAACCATGCCCAATTCTCATATTTTGCAGTACTCCTGACCTTAAAACCATAGTGAAATCCTTGGGACCAAATATATATTAGATTAAAAGAAATAAAATTATCCTAAGTGCTGCTGATATTTTTTGTGTGTGACTCATCAGATATCTCTTATTCGATGCCTAGTTCCTATTTTAAGAGTGTTCCAGCATTATCTTCATTGGGTTGAAAGTGTCTTGATGAGGAGTAAAACTAAACTGAAACGTAATATCACCTCAAGACCACCAGGTGGCAGCAACTTAGTAGCAAGAACAACGCTCCCATACTGTGATCTCTTAATACCCTATCTTAGAGGCCGTAAAGTATAAATGAGCCAAGGATGTTTTACCCGAAAGCAAGGAAATTACCAAAACTATTGGTCTAACAAATGGAATAATAGCCAACTGAACTGGGCTCTCACTGGCCCAGTATAGAACAAGATAATAATTGGTCTAGGTTGAGACAATTTATACATTATTATCTATAGATGTGTGATAATTTTTTTTTTAAGTAAGAAAAAGCAAAAACCCTCATGGTTACCTTTGGAGGTTGCTAGGCCAACTCATTGATGTAGTCTGAAAGTAGAGGAAAGAAGTAAGTACTTGTCTTGCCTTCCCTTGTGAAAACAGGGTTCTCGAGCAGCTGCTGAGGGAAAGCTAATAAATACTGAAGGAAGACTTAGAACATCACGACTTTGTAAGCCCTCACGCAATGACTGAATCCAGGTGTTTGTTAGTCCATGAAAGGAAAGCTCTTGGGCATTGTCACGGGGGATTGGGTAGACAGCACTACAACTCACTAAAGCTTAATGTCCCAACCAGAAACAGCTAGCCCAGTCTTACCGGCCCTCCCTAATAATTACCCCAGGAGGTGCAGTGATTTTTGTAATATGAAATCTACACCTGTGCAATATTCTCGCACTTCTGCCCATCAACAATTAAGGCTGAATCTAATCAAGCTTCCCGATCACTATGGTTCAACAGAACTTTCGGTACTGGCAGTAACACTGAATCCCTGCACTGCTCAATCAGTAGTTCTCTGACACTAAGGGGCTACTGAGCACAGTAAGTGTGGCTAAGGCAACTAGGATACCAACGCTTCATGAAAAATTAATTTAAGTAGTCATGGTTGCTTGATGGTTATTCTACAGATAGTAGCTATGTTGACAGTGAAATGCTCCAACTCTCAACTACTGAGGTCAGAGGTAAATTTTAAAAGATACCACATGATGCAGCTACTTTGGAGTGGTAAAGGGATGTGAGGAGACTACTATTTCCATGATCTTGAAAGCGCTGTCCCAAAGATAGAGCGGATGGCTGTCTGAGATTTTGGTCCAAACAAGCTATTGTAAAGACACTCAAGGGGCAGTTGAAGAAATGTGAACCCTCACTGGATATCGACATTACAGAACTTTTATTAATTTGTGTAAGTGTAATAATAGTGTGGCTTTGTAAGAACTGAAACAAGCAAATGTAGCACCTAGCAGGGAAGATAATAACTATGTTAGAGTGGACTACTGATGCTGTAACCGTCTTGTCTCCACAGGAGGAGGGACTAAGCAAAGGTCCTCTATTTCTTCAAGTGAAGAAATGGCATCCATACAATCAACATACCTAAGTTCTATGGTTTTTAAAACATGAATCTATGTGCATCTTAGAAGTCAGTGTGAAGCCTGGACCTGAAATCCTAGCTCCTCAGGAGGCAGATATTGGAGAATATAGTAGTTTGAAGCCAGCCAGGGCAGGAAAAGCCCACGAGACTCCTATTACCAATTAACTACAAAATGGCCCAAATGGAACTATAGCTGAAGTGATATAGTGCTAGCCTTGAGAGTTCCGGGACAGGGCCCAGGTCTTGAATTCAATCCTCAGTTCAGTCACCAAAAAAAAAAGAGGGAGAATGTATCTGAATGTTTTATAAACTTCTAGCCCACTTGCATTTTACAGCTTTTACTACTGATCATTGCAATAAATCAGAAGTTGAGCAGCTCTAGACAAAAACTAACCTAAAGACAGCACTGCATTATAAATAAAATACAGGCTTTATTATATCAGTAAGCTATAGCTATTAAGAATGTAAATATTGGGCTGGGAAGGTGGCTCAGTGGTAGAGTGCTTGCCTTACATGCAGGAGGCCCTGGGTTCGATTCCTCAGCACCACATAAGCAGAAAAAAGCTGGAAGTGGCGCTGTGGCTCAAGCGGTAGAGTGCTAGCCCTGAGCTGAAGAGCTGAGGGACAGCACCCAGGCCGGAGTTCAGGTCCCACAAACAACCAAAAAAAAAAAAAGAAAATGAAGAGCTGAGGGACAGCACCCAGGCCGGAGTTCAGGTCCCACAAACAACCAAAAAAAAAAAAGAAAATAGATTACCAAGAATGTAAATACCGGGAGATGTGTAGTTCATTATCCTTTTGTCTTCATACAAAAAAAAAGACACCAGATCCCAGTATACGAGGAACTGTACAAATGAAGGGCATCTACCCTACAATATTGCTTTATTAAAGGGGAAAAAAATGTTAAACAGTATAAGGCAGTGAATGTAGGGCCCAGGGGAGACTAGAGTGTGCAAGTTAAATGTACTGTTATGTAACTGTAAATGCGGATGAAGTTAGGTTGTAGTTAACTATCCATCAAAACTGGTCTTCCACTGCATCACATTCATCGTTACTTCCCTTGTAAAGGGACTTAAAGACCCGCGGTTCGGGATCTAGACTTACTGTCTCCAAGTACGTTTGCGATAAAAGTGTTCTGTTTCTAATGACCATCTGGCATGGTGACCACTAATTAGGTCATTTTCTCGAATTTAATAAAATCCGTGAGTATTTGGGTCACTGAGTATGTGGTTAACAAAAAAGGCCTATGGAGATTCGGTAATTAAAATGTAAACCTCAAAAAAAAAGGGGGGGCTGGGATTGTGGCTCAGTGGTAGAGTGCTTGCTTAGTGTGCATGGAGCCCGGAGTTCAAATCCTCAGTGCCACATAGACAGAAAAAGCCGGAAGTGGCGCTGTGGCTCAAGGGGTAAAGTGCTAGCCTTGAGCAAAATAGCTCAGGGACAGTGCCCAGGCCCCGAGTTCAAGCCCCAGGACTGGCTAAAAAAAAAAGTTAAATTAGATATACGGGTGAGCAAATGCAGCAGACACTATGTAGAAAATGAACTATCCAACATGTGGGCAGGGATGGTCAGGAAAAAAAACGGGCTGAGCGCGAAGGAAGGGGGTGGCACTGTCCCAAAGAGAGAGAGAGAGAAATGCACTCTTTCACTGACCTATACAAAGGCAACCCCTCGGTACATCACCTTTATAGTACTTTTTTTAAGTACTATAAAGTTTTAAAGTTTTTTTTTCCCCCTCTTTCAAAACCTCTTTCCCAACCCTGATTTGCATGTGTGGATCCGTCAGGAAATTTCGGGGCTCCTTGGTTCTAGTTTCTTCCACCTTTCTGGACGTTCGAAGCAGACAGCTAACAGCTGCTAA